ATTTTCGTGGGGCATCTTGATTCCTTCAGTTTTCACTATTTTTCCTTGTTTGATAGTAAGTGTGGCACATTTGTCCAAGCCAAACTCCATTACAATATCTTGGCTATATATACGGACAGTGTTGAGCAGCGATTCTATTTCAGATGATGTTTTTCCATACAGCTTCAGATCATCCATGTAAAGGAGATGGGATAGTCTGGCAGATGTTTTTGATGTTTGATAGCCATGTCCTGAGTTATTCAGTATTGTTGACAGAGGAAACAGTGCAATAACAAATAGTAATGGTGATAATGAATCTCCTTGAAATATTCCTCTCTTGATATTAACCTCTACCAGCTTCTCACCATTGATCTGCAACTGTGTCTTCCATTGTGCCATCGATCTTTGCACAAATTTTCTGATGTTTCTACTGACTCCTGTTATTTCTAGGCACTTTGTTATCCAATCATGTGGCAGAGAGTCAAATGCCTTTTTGTAGTCAATCCATGCCACATTCAGGTTGGTCTTCCTTCTCTTGCAGTTTTCCAAGATCATTTTGTCTATTAGGAGTTGATCTTTTGTTCCTCTGCTATTGGGGCGGTTTCCTTTCTGCTCAGGTGGAAAGAGATTGTTTTCAACTAGATGCTGTTGTACTGCATCAGCTACCACACCAGTTAGTAATTTGAAAGTTGTTGGTAAGCAGGTAATTGGCCTGTAGTTGCCTGGTGTTGCCCCTTTTGCTGGATTTTTCATTATTAGGTAGGTTTTCCCAGTTGTTAGCCACTTTTCAATTTCTCCTCCTTGTAGTATATTGTTGAACTGCTTGGCAATGAGTGGGTGTATAACAGTTAGATGTTTCAACCAAAACCTATGCAGTTCATCTTCACCTGGTGCTGACCAATTTTTGATTTTCTTTGCTCTTTTTTCTACCATTTTTGTTGTTATTACTAGTTCTTTCATTTCAACTTCTGTTTTATTTGCATCCACCTCTTTTAACCAAGCCGCATCCTTGTTGTATTTCTTTGGGTTATCCCATATCTGCTTCCAGAACTGCACTGTTTCTTCCTTGTCAGGTACTGACTGATTCCTTGCAGTTTCTCCATTGATGGATTGGTAGAAACGTTTCTGATTGGATTGAAATTGGAGGTTCTGCCTATAGTTTGCAATTCGAGCTTCATATCTACTGATTTTCCTGGCTATAGCTGTTATTTGTTGCTTTATTATTTCCAGTGCTTCCTTGATCTTCCTTGTTTTTAAGTGGTATTTCTTGATTAGGTATTTTTTGGTGCTTGTCTGTTTTTTATTATTATTATTATTATTATTATTATTATTATATTTTTATAATAAAATAAATACAGTAGTTTAATATGGTATAAGCACATGTTTCAATTGTTTATTTGGTTACTATATTTTCAGCCTAATCTATCATTATTAAGTTCCAACTCCTGGGAAGGTAGTTTGAAGGAAAATTACTGTTACAATCACCCCCAATAGACTTTGCATGTAAGTAAAAAGTTAAATCCTCAGGTTAATATTATATATTTTAAGATTGGCTAAAACATGCTATAGTCAGAAAAAAAATCTATACCAAGCCTCCATAAAGGTAATTAAAATTAGAATAATTAATCAGCAGCCCATAATCTTTTTGTAGCCTTAATTTTCTGCATTATTTGTACTCAGTCATCTCTATATAAGATCCTCTCTTCAGACCAAATGCCAAACTTTATCCAACATGTTAATCTGTATACAGGGATTACAGACAACTTTTCAGTTTCTCTACATAATTAAAAGTGTTCAAATAAAATGTTCACTTCAGTTCTACAAAACAATCTGATTGGCAGAATTGTGTTAAAGCTTTAATTCAATACTAATGGGTAGACCAGGGTTCTTCAAACTTGGCCCTTTTATGTGCCTGGCTGAGGAATTCTGGGAGTTGAAGTCCACAAGTCATAAAAGGGCCAAGTTTGAAGACACCTGGAGTAGACATTTTCTGTGTTGGAAGACATAATCTGTGGCAAGCAGAGCAGATTCAACCAAGAATAACTCATGCTGATAGCAAGAAAACCCATAGCAGAGAAGGCCATCATTAAATTTTCTGTCCTTATCTCTTCATTTACTTCCTCAACACCCTTCTCATAACACTCCCCTGCAGCAGGGCAAGAATGGGTTAAAAACTAAACTATAACATCAAGGGAGAAAGCACACTCCCACAATAGGGCAGCATGAAGCCAAGAGTTCTTGCTTAATAATAATTATTATTATAATAAAGTTGGAAGGGACCCCAGAGATCATCTAGTCGAACCCCTTGCTCAGGCAGGAAACCCTATACCAGGGGTGCCAAACTGCTGCACCCACCCCATTGCCAGCAATGGAAAAAAAAGTCATGATACGTTGTGACATGTCACGTGACACGCCTGCCCTATACCATTTCAGACAAATGGCTGTCCAGTCTCTTCTTAAAAACTTCCAGTGTTGGAGCATTCACCACTTCTGGAAGCAGGTTGTTCCACTGATTAATTGTTCTAACTGTCAGAAAATTTCTCCTTAGTTCTAGGTTGCTTCTCTCTTTGATCAGTTTCCATCCATTGCTTTTTGTCCTGCCTTCAGGTGCTTTGGAAAATAGCTTGACTCCCTCTTCCTTGTGGCAGCCCCTGAGACATTGGAAGACTGCTATCATGTCCCCCCCCCCGTCCTTCTCTTCATTAAGCTAGACATACCCAATTCCAGCAACCTTCACTCGAGCTTCACATAATAAAGCATAGATCAGTGCTGAGATGTCTTTCATAAACAATGTGTGAAGTGCAGGGAAATCAGGAGATTCAGGCAGTTCAAATTAGTATAAAGATAATGTGTTTTCCCAAAAGTAAAGCCTACCCTGAAAATAAGCCCTAGTTTGGGGGTGAGGCACACACTTAAAAATCAACCTAGGGCAGAGGTGGAGGATGGAGCTGCCCCACATGCCCCATACCTGCTTACCTGGCAGCCAGGCTTCTCCTCATTGGCCCATTTCTTCTCTGGCATCTTCTGCAGCCAAACCTGCATTTCTCAATCACAGGCCTTTCCAGAAAGCCTCTGCAGCCAAAGAGCGAGCTATAGATTGAATCCATAGCTCAGTACTCGGCTGCAGGGGCCTTCTGGAAAATCCTGACTGCAAAATACAGGCCGGAATGCAGTTGCAGAATGATGCTGCTCCTTCAGCCGCAGAAGAAGTAGACTGGCTGGGCAGGCTGACAGAACTGGAGGTGAGTATAAAAGATACCCCCAAAATAAGTCCTGGTGCTTCTTTTGGAGGATATGTATGTATGTATGTATGCACGTATGTACTGTATATACCTGGTCTTGTTTTGGGGGAAACACGGTATATTGCGAACTCTCTACAACATGGGTATCAAACTCGCCACATCATGTGATGTGTTGTGACGTATCGTGACTTTTTTTTTGCATTGCCGGAGCCGGGGTGGGTGCGGCCTCCGCATGATGCAACCAGCCTGTGGGCTGGCAGTTTGACATCCCTGCTCTACAAGAATCTGACAAACTAGTGATCAAGGGAAATGAGCGGGAGATAAGAAAGGCATTCAAGATGGGCTGGATTTACCTCTCTTGCATGCACATGCATGGACTAATGACTTAGGATGCATTTGACACACACCCTCCTTGGGCTCAGCCCGGTAAGCTCCTACACTGTGACAAATCCTGCATCACTCTAGCTCAGCGTCTTTCAACCTTGGCAGCTTTAAGACATGCGTACTTCAACTCCCAGAATTCTGAGAGTTGAAGTCCACATGTCTTAAAGTTGCCAAGGCTGAGAAATACTATGCTAGTTACTCTATGCCTCTGATGAAGGGAAATGCAGGTCACAAAAGCGTTCTAATAAAGTTGGCTAGTCAGAAAAGATGTTGCCAGACTTTTGATTTTTAACAACAACAACAAAATCCTTAACATGAGTGCTTATTAGCGAAGAAATTTACAGAACCAAAGGACCTAGTTAATTTACACACTTAAGCCCAGCTCTAATTAAGAAATGCATATCATAACCTCTGCTGGGTTTTAATATTACCTCAATAGAAGAAAATGAGCAAGGCATATTGAATAAGATGATAAAACAATTGTCCACTAATAGAACAATACAGAAAAGGGCAATGCTCACAGAGCTCTGGGAGTCCTAAAGTACCTTAATTATATTTTTAGAGAAATCCACACAAAAGACAGATCCGATAAAGAGCTTCCCCACAGAAACACCATAGCAGCTTGCAAAATAGAACATAGAATATAAAATAATAGCGTTGGAAGGGACCTTGGAGGTCTTCTAGTCCAACCCTCTGCTCAGACAGGAGACCCTATACCAGAGGTCTTCAAACTTGGCCCTTTTATGACTTGTGGACTTCAAATCCCAGAATTCCTCCGCCAGCAAGCCTGGCTGAGGAATTCTGGGAGTTGAAGTCCACAAGTCATAAAAGGGCCAAGTTTGAAGACCCCTGCCCTATACATTCCAGACAAATGGCTTCCCAGTCTCTTCCTGAAAACCTCCAGTGATCAATTTCAGAGGCAAGCCATTCCATTGATTAATTGTATTCACCATCAGGAAATTTCTCCTTACTTCTAGCTTGAATCTCTCTTTCATGATCTTCCACATGTTACTTCTTGTCTTGCCCTCAGGTGCTCTGGAGAATAAATTGACTCCCACTTCTATATGACAGACTCTCAATTTCTGGAAGTCAGCTATCATATTATCCCTACTCCTTCTCTTCGATAGGCTAGATATATCTAGTTCCCTCAATCGTTCATGATATGGTTTAGCCTCCTGACGTTTTATCTTTGTTGCTCTTCTCTGCACTGTATCTAGAATTTCAACATCTTTTTTTGTATCATGAAGACCAGTAGTGGTCATGATGTCCTCACAAAGGTGATGCAAATGATGTAGAAAACTCTTTCACAATAGGATGGTCCTGCCAGGGGAATGTTGGCAACTTGAAATTCTAGCACTTGATAGTAAGGAAACAGTTGACTAACAGGATCAAATGGAAAACGTAGCATGCCCAGCCAAGGCGACTGCTGGCCCTTCACGATGCAGCTGGCCAAAAGGTAAAAAATGGGGGGGGGTAGATAAGTAAAGGTGAGTTGATGAATACCTTGCAATCATAACTATGGGCAGGATACCTAGCTCCCAGATTTTGATAACATCACCATGGGGTGCAGTAGTCATAACTACTGTTTGATAAGTGCTGTCCTACAGCTGCTCAATAATGGGATATATTCTGGAATGTGGCATTATCTCCCTCCGAGTTTAGATGCCCAGACCCTCTTAATCTCCAGGAAGGTCTTTAAAATCTGTGTGTTTCTTTCCATGTTAGGGCTAGCTTGCCACACAAGATGGAGTGTGTCCTGACTGTGTTGTTGACTAATTTATCACATTTACATAGCTGCCCATTTCACCAAAAGTAATTCATGCCTGGCTGAGGAACTCTGGGAGTTGAAGTCCACAAGTCATAAAAGGGCCAAGTTTGAAGACCCCTGCTCTGGATTGTTGTGTTTTCTGCTGGGTGGGATTGTTGAAGTTCAGTCACCTTCTTTTCTTTTGAGAATTAAGTCCTCAATTAATTCTTTATTGCACTATGATTTTTAATCTACAGTTTTGAAATCCTTTGAGTGTTTAAAGTGCTCCTCTCTGCACATTACTCCTCCCACTGTTTAATTATTTACCTATGTGTTTTAATTTCAAAACCACCTCAAAATGTACATTTTCTAAAATAAGTAACTGTTTATTCAATCATTTCTGTTGACAAAGAGGAAAATGAAAATTTGTTGATACCTTCATAGGAATATATAATCTGTGCAAGCAAACCTAATATGGCACTTGTTGAGTCATGCCGTGTAGTTTTAATTATTAGTATAGTTATATCTGACCTTTGATTATTACCTGAGGATTTAGGTCAGGTGAATTTTACATACAAAATATGGTGGAATACCATCCTTCTCCTTTCTGGAGAAGCAAAGAACATGAAGTGACAGCAAATATCATATTTGTATTCTAGGGTCTGAGTAAGGCTGCCAAGTGTATTACTGAAGACAGGGACTGCTAAATTTTGCTTGTCATTAAATATTCCAAATAATATCTCAAGTGAATGATTTGAATTAAAAAAACATGTGTCTTATTGAGGCCTAATAAAGGGAGAAAGAGACAGTTATAAAGAATTGTTTTAATTGGAGTCATTTTTAGAAGATGTTCAAATTGTGAGCTGCTAAAACAGACTTTTAATACTACATAATTCTGCCACTCTTTCTGACAAGGAGACAAAAAAAAACAGCATAACTGTTTTCCTATGGTTGTTTTCTTGAAACAAAGCTTTCCACTCATCCTGATAGTGTTGATATAACTTTTCAATCAACAGTTGAAAACCTTTAGTTAATCCTGTGCTTTTAAAAGACTAGGCTTAGTAAAAGAAAGAAAGAAAGAAAGAACACTAATATTTTATATTTATTCTCTTTGCTCTCCTAATATTATATGACTCCAACTATCTCGGCAATGTTTTATTCTTTGTGCAAAGTGAATGCAGAGTGATTGTTGCATTAGATTATGCACAACTAAGTGCTATCCATTTCAGAGATGCCAATAAAATATTGTCAATAGATAATGGCTATCTGTTGTTCCTACATAATTGCTTAGGTAAAGACGTTGTTTTGGAGAAATATTCTATTGTATCTGCTATGTATCTCTTTTACCAAATCCTGACACAAATGGAATGTCTGTTCCATGGCACTGAAATTTGTCCTCCACTATATGTCTTTGTGAGATACCAGCTGGAAACTGATTATTTAAGTTGTAATTTGCAAATCACTTACACAGCAGACTTGCACTTAATCTGGATGGCCTTGTCTTTTCCTTGAAAATGTCTGTAAGGTGTGTATGTGTGTGTGTGGGGGGGGAGATAGAAGCAGAGAAGCAATGGGCAAGCGGTACCAATTATTTTAGTATTATAATCATCCACTCCATGACATGGAGATTTCATTATTATATAATTTAAAAAACAGTAGCAAGTAGAGGATACTATTAATTAGACTCCAAATGGGACATTGGCACCTAGCTTAGAACTGAGATCTCAGAATGCAGAGCAGAAAAGGAGCTGTCCTGATGCGTAATTGAGAACCATATTAAGAACAGCCCTGTATCATTCATTTTAAGATTATGAATGCATAGCTGCTGCATAGTGTTCCGGAAGATGGGCATCACAACAAGAAATATGTCAGATAGACTCTGTCTCAGAGCATGCCTCTCCTAATGGATCTAGCAAGATGGACAAATATTTCTGGGAAGAAGCTCCATGCCATAGAAAGGCTAGATATGAAAGTAGGAACCCAGAGATTGACAACAGCTCATGTCTGGCTCCAGTGAATAGTGACAATAGAAGAATCAGGGGTGAATTTGGGTGAAAAATGTACAATACCCTGAATGTGTATTGTGCATTGGCAGAATTTGCATTATGACATCCCAATGCATGCTTTATAACTTTTCTCTCACCAATCACTGCAGATATCAATGCATAATGAATATACATTTACATACAAATACAGATATTTGGCATTGACTGCTGAAGAATAAAGCATTTACATGCTTGACAGATCGGTATTTGAAAAATATAAGAAACATAAAGGTAAAAATAAAGATTTCCTCTATCTAGTCATGTCGAACTTCAGCATTGCTAAAGACCTTTCTCTAGTCATGTGGCCAGCATGATTATACACCGAGGCATACGGAACACTATTACCTTCCCACTGAGGTGGTACCTATTTATCTACTTGGGTTTGCATATTGTCAAACTGCTAGGTGGGCAGTCCCATTACACAGGACTCAGGTCTCAAACAGCCTTAAGTTCTGCATCTTTGACCACTGAACCATTGCATCCCCTTAACCCAGTAATTCTCAACCTTTCTAATGTCGTGACCCCATAATACAGTTCCCCATGTTGTGGTGACCCCCAAGTGGGTGTGGCCATCAATAAGAGGGAGTAGGACAGCTAGGGAAAAGGAAAAAAAATGGCGGACAGCATGGTTTGCCGACCCCCGTGAAATGGTCGTTTGACCCCAAATGGGGTCCCGACCCACAGGTTGAGAACCACTGCCTTAACCACTGAGCCATTGTGCCCCCAATAAGAAATGTATTTACTGCTAAATCTGAATTGGTTGCCCATATAGATAGATAGATAGATAGATAGATAGATAGATAGATAGATAGATAGATAGATGAGAGAGAGAGCAGCTGTCTCATCATCCCCTACTTTTGTATGACCTTGTTTTATCATACCATCTAATCAAACTTTATTGAGAAAACTCAGTATGATTTCCTGGGAAGACATTCCTTGCTTTTAAATGTCATAGCATGAGAGGCAGCCTCACATCTGTTCTGAGTACCATGCATTGCTTGTTTTTGTTCTGCTGCATCTCCCAGTCATCTTTACTAAGACTGAACATAATGTTTCTGGTTTGCTATCAACAGTTCCTATTGCATTGCCTATTTTTTTAAATTACAAGTCAATTTGCTTTATGCAACCGGGGCAACCTGAAGATGGAAAACATCTATTAGTTGATTAATCTAGGGAAAGTCAATAGAATTAAATTGGATGCATTCAGCCTTACTCCTATAAATCAAATGTAATATAAACAACAATCATTTTATCTATCTTATTCAAAATGGAAAAACACTGCATTCTAATTATAATTTAAAAAAGGAAGATAGAGATTAAATTTTAGGATTTTTCCTGTCATAGTTCATAGTTTTTACTTTAAATTATTTTACTGCTAAGTATTTATACAGCGCTTTGAAAATTCAGAATGCTTAAGCCAGAGGTCTTCAAACTTGGCCCTTTTATGACTTGTGGACTTCAACTCCCAGAATTCCTCAGCCAGTATGCCTGGCTGAGGAATTCTGGGAGTTGAAGTCCACAAGTCATAAAAGGGCCAGGTTTGAAGACCTCTGGCTTAAGACATATTTGGCATAAGCAGCCCCTTAGATAGCTAACAAAATGGATGGGGAGGGGAGTGGGATGGCATCTGCTAAGCATGACTGGGGCAGCAGTAGTCTAGTTAGTGACACAGTCATGGCACTGCTACGTGTTTTTTGTTCAATAGATTGGATAGAGCACTCAGAAATTGTTGAAGGCTACCCACTGAATTCATCATAATGATTATGAAATTCAAACAAAGGATTTCCCTTGACTAAAATATTGTAATTCATGCATTAGCATTTTTACAACACCTGCAGATATTATCTACCACTATTTCTACATATTTTATATTGCTCAATCTTTTTAAAAAAATCTAAAACTCATTTTAAAAGTATAGAACACGATTAGAGAACAAACCTTCATTGTGTGTATACCTAGTGCTAGGGCCAATCCTGGATGATTAATATACTTCTCATCCAAGATCCAGTTTATTGCCGCTTTCATCATCCCAAAATGAGAATATGCCAGCTAGCTTTCAGACTGGCATCTCGTTCAATATTTCTCTCTCACCTAAATCATTTATTTAAAATTGTGTGGAACAGTGTTCCTGGCGTTCAGACTGACACGAACCTGATAAAAATGCTATGCACATTTTCCTTCATTAATCTCATTCAAGCTCTCTATTGCATTAGTAAAATAGTAGCATATGTCCAAATGCAAGGAAATGTCTGTGGCCTGCTGCTTTTCACTAAAGTGAGAAGCAAACAAACAACAACAACAAAACCCTATCTGCAAAGATTATGCATCAGAAGAATATTTATGAAGGTAAAGATATAAAGATAAAGTCTGTATGGTCGTAATTTTATACTTCCCTACTTAGAAGCATTACAACAGTCAATTGCTTCAAAGTCTGAGTGTATAGACATATAGAACCATGCTTTAATGCTGTTTATCTTGTTTATTTAGAAGCAAAAATAACAATTATTTACATATAGTTTGTCTAGGCATAATATCTCTCCTGATTCTTTGCTTACTTTCAGAGAAGGACTAAATAGAGATGCAAACAAGCAACACTTGAGGCTTTTTTTTTTTTTTCATTTTACTCTCTGCAGACTTAAAACTTCCAACATACAGGATGAGCAC